AAAGAAGTTCTTCGTTTGATTTATTATATCCAAGATATAATTCATGAGGTGTTGTTTCTTTATTTTTGAACATTTCTATAGTTTTTGTGATATTGTCTTTGATAATTTCAGTTTTACATTCAACCAGCTTCGCTTCTGAAAATTTGACTCCATTGGTGAATGTTTCATCTAAATCGAGGTCAACAATGGACATGTTACTTTTGAATGCTTTCTGTATTGAAAATATTCCAACATCCAACATTTGTAAAAAAAATTGGTATGAAGTTGTTGTTTTGGAGGTATTCAATATTAAGTAAAACACGATGTGAACTGCAGTTATCCATGAAAAGAATTACTTGCCCTTCGTAATTTAAAAGTGTCCTTTTTTGTTGACTTCAATTATAAAGACTTCTTCTAGCCATTCTCGAAACAAAACACTATTCATGGTACTATTTGGAGAGAACATAAAGTGGACGTTGTTTTCATTATAACCACATATATTTAACACGACACTTATTTGTTTGTTTGGAATTATCAGAGCTTATTTTAATCTACTTCCAGAAGCATATATACAGGCAACTTGAAATATTTTACGCTCGGATTTATCACACGCACATCTAATATTTGTTTTCTCGAAACACCTAAGGATGTAGACCTTGGCATTTTTAATATCAATGAAATCTTTGTGTCCAGATTCATCAAAATTAAATATAAATTCAGCTGGTATATTTTACAGACTATCGTCGACTTTTTCGAAGTAATTATAAATGTCAACTGGTTCTACTCCCAATCTCGATTCTTCGACAATTTGGGCTTTGACTTGTTTGAGTCCAATAGAGTTCATCAATTTATAGATACCTTGTTTTGTATAACTCACTTTAAAAGCCGTATTAAGATAGCATTTGACAAAATGAGTTGTCACAACTCTTCCAAATCTTAGTCTTTTTTTAATAATAGTTTTTAATTCATCAAGCTGTTTTGAGTAAGTTTTGATTGTCCGCCTCTAGATCTAAAAATTCCCAACTGAATTTTTTGTCCGACTGCTTTTAATTGAGAGATGCGTCCTTTACTAATGTCAAAAAACATTTTAAGATCATCATAAGTAATAATTTTTCTTATTTTTGAATCCACTTCTTTTTCTATAGTTCTCATTCGAGAAAATTCATTAGCTTTCTCATATATATATGTGAGTTGATTCTGACGCGAAGTTGATTGTTGAACAAACTCATTTGTTGAAAACAACCAATAAAAAGGTTTTTCATCAAAAATAATTTTGTTTCATCCGTAGCAAAAGACGATTCTAACTTTTTGATGATTAAATTTGGTACATATAAGTCTTTACATATTTGGTTTTTCTTTTCGATGTTTTTTGTGTTAACAATGTTATATTTACATCATTTGTATCATCAATAATTTTTAAGTCTTCTTGAAAAAAGTTGTACCAAAATCGAGACAGAGTTCTTCTTTACCAATATTTTCTTCGAAAACATTGAAGTTGCCTATCAAGTATTTATTAATATCAACTTGATGAATTTCACATATTTGAGATGTGAAGTCGACATTATAAAAAAGATGCGGCGAATTGTAGCAATCAATTACGTGAATGTTTTTCTTCATGTGAATATACAGTTTTACAGATCGATTTTTGTTTGTTTTATTTTTGTTATTTTATTTCAGGATGCCGATTCAGAATAGATCCAACAATTTTTAATGTTTTTGGGGGTAAAAATGTTGATAATCCATATTTAGATTATTAAAAGCTAATTTTAGTAAATTAAGAGTAAGTTTAGGATTCAGTTGTAAATTTATATGTTCAGTTACCCTCCTGTAAATAATTAATAAACTGACTTAATAATTATTGAAAATGGTGAGAATCGAAAACTCAGTGAATAACACTGTAAAGTTAATTCATTTGTATCAAATCAACTATTTGAGATAATAATAATTAATCAACTTTAATTATTTATTCTTATTTCTTGAAACAAGACAAAGTCAGTCTGAAAACTTTGTTTTGTTTCAAATGTTATTCAATACTAATTAGACTGTACCAAGTAGAATATTTCGAGTAATCACGATAAACAATCTCATTATTTTTTTGAATTAATACCCAACCCGATTTTTAAAACAAAAATAGCCATGTATTAATCAAATAATTCAGGGTCGGCCAAGATCCAGTTTTTAAACAACTTCGTGGCAATCTCTAATACGTGTCAGTTCATTTTAAGTTTTAGCATATTGTCAACAAAAAACTTAAAAAGTTTTTTAGAGTTAAAATGTTTTTAAAAATTGGTAAAACTATAGTTAACGATTTAAGCAAAATTTCTGTATTGTTTAAATCATCATTACAATGTGTTATAATCCAGTTTTAAAGAACAACAATTGAACAGTAAAAAGCGTATGATATTATGGGATGCAGAGTTTTTAAAATCAAATAATAATATTCACTCATTATAATTGTAATATACAGAAGATACTAACACCCAATAAAAATTATTAGAAATCATTTTAGTGATTTCAACATATAATATTTATTTTAACAATTAATATACCTTTTCAACATACACATTATTATTAATTGTAAATGTATATATATGTATATTTGTCAGTTTAACAAAGGTTTTGAATAGTTCATTCGTATCCTTTTTAAAATTAAAATATTAATTAAACAATCAAATAAATAAAAACTATTTTTATTATCTTTAGCAATTATACAAAACTAACAATGTATTTTTTGATTGATA